ATGCAGCGTCATACAATGTTTAAGTTCTGAAATTACTATTAGGGCTAAAGCTCTACCAAGCCTATCCCAGACGACACCTATGAGTGCGGGCATTAAATTACGAGGGTAGACTGAGAGAGGGATGGGAGAGCAGAACCTGCTAAAACGTGACTGTATGTGTACTGTGTAGTCAGAGGTGCAATGCCGCTCTTTCTCTCTCTTCCCCTCTGTTTCTTCCCTCTCTCTCTCTCTCTCTCTCTCTCTCTCTCTCTCTCTCTCTCTCTCTCTCTCTCTCTCTCTCTCTCTCTCTCTCTCTCTCTCTCTCAACACTCCCCACCTTCTCTCTCTCTCCCCTCTCCCTATCTCTTTCTCTTTCCTTCTTTCTTTCTCTCCCTCTCTCTCTCTCTCTCTCTCTCTCTCTCTCTCTCTCTCTCTCTCTCTCTCTCTCTCTCTTTCCCTAATCCCTTTGGACCCTTTGGAGTCCGGCTGGGCTCATGACAGAAGGCAACACAATTTTTCGTGTGACTGGATCAGTCAGGCTATCAAGGATATTTACCTTAAGTATTTACCTTAAGTAAAGGTCATTAGGTACCCTTTCGAGTAATCAGACCCTTTACTCAAGAGATGCCTCCTCTTCTTCTGACGAAGACGAGTAGGCTGCCATGCTAGGTGAGGCCATACATTGATGGCCACGATGATCATTAGTATGAGAACTTGTAGTTGAACTTTTCAGGGTGGTCCTTCCATTCCTTCCCCAGTCTGTACTTGAACACATCGACATTTGGAGCATCGATGGTGTGGGTTGACAGCTTGTTCCATGTCTGAGTTACTCGTGCCGCAAAGAAGGCTTTTCTGGGTCCCAATTGATGCTGAACTTGAAGTTTTTGATCGTGACCTCGGGTGACACGGCTGAGAGAGTTCTTGAACATGCTGTTGTGACAACACGGGCACTCTCTTTGGAAGTCCACCTTGTCGAAGCCTTTCAAAATTTTGAAGGTCTCGATGATGTCCGACCGTTTCCGTCGGAATTCCAGAGTAGGTAAATTAAGGCTCCTGAGGCGATCTGAATATGAAAGGTGAGACAGTCCGTTAACCAGCCTTGTTGCCCGCCGCGATATGATAGCTAGAGCCTGGAGACAAGGAAATGATCTGGCATACACTCATCTATCATATACCAAGGCTCATCAACCAGCATTTTCTGTCCTCTAGGTGTCGAGAAACAGTTTTGTAGGTGGCAGCACTATAGTCAGACTTATGGTAAGGTGTCTGTCTGCTGCTGACACCTGGTGAAGTTGTTGAGTACTACGGCTTTGTAGATGTCGCTACCATACCACTTGAGATATTTTCTACATTGAGCTGCTTCTTGGCATGTGAACACTTGCCAATGCCTTGAATTGGACATCTACAAGCATGAACATTGAACACTTTACATGACGTGAAAACATACCCTATTCGAGCTCGGTGAAGCCCAATTTACCATCCAAGTATTGAACAAACACTGAGACGGTACAGTAGCAAAGGCGAGCGTGCAATGACGGTATGGGAAACCCGTTTTTTAGACACCCCGGGTAGGCGTGAAACCAAACCCAGTATTTATGAAACCATCATCGATCCAATAAGCAGTTTCAGTTCAAAAGAGCTTGGTATGGAGATGTGCATTTTGGGTGTCGGATCTAATAAGACAATTCATTGTAAGGCTATATGAAGAGTGATGGCAAATTTCAACATCCTTCATTTGCTTATATTTCTCGAATTTTATTGGTGAATGCGGGATAAAGTGACGAAAGTTGGAGCCCACGGAAAGCAGAACTTGGTCAGATCCTTTCCAATACTATCCGAAACGGAAAGTTTGAAATCATACCTAGTTCCCTGCACCATCCTAATTTTTCATTCTTATTGCAATTAATTCAATGTAATATTAAGATGAAATAAATGTCCTGGATGCCACATATCCCCAATTTATAGTTAGAATTGTAAAGAAAAAGAAGTGCTTGCATTGCTGGGCTTACGTAACGAGATGTGATTGTTTTCCGGTTTCACGATCTCAGGTCAATGACAAAATGAACAGCCTAGTTCTGGTAAAAAGCTTCGGCAAAAATTGGTCCCAGAGTAGCAAAATTGCTACCATCGTTGTTGTCATCGCAGTAGTCACTGGTCACACCTTTTAAGTTTGCTTCAGAGAGGTCGACTTGGGTGTCGATCTCGCGCCAAGGCCAGGTCAAAAACGGTAAGGTGAAAAATACGTCCTCAGCTCCCCACGTATGGTCTGGGGAGTTTGTGCCGCATTCGACTCGATTTGACCTCTTAACCCGCGCGGGGCTGGGGGGGGGTAAATTTTACCCCCCCTCGCGAATTTTTGCGATATCTCAAAAACGGCGGCGCGCAGCGCCGCCAAACTTTCAGTACCTTTTCTTACATCAATTTGACACGTTCCCTGAAAATTTGAGCGAAATCCGTCGGAAAATTTTTGAGAAATTGACGTTTTAGTGACGTCATGTTCGCCATTTTCGCCTCAAAAACGGCAAAAGTTCAAACGCCGCTAACATCTTCATTTTTAAAGGAATCAAGACGTAACAAAAAAGTTTATACGTAATTTTACTTTGTCTATCAAATGGCTATCTCGGTTTTTTGAAAATTTTGGATTTTGGCCTAAAATTTTTCAAAAAACTGATTTTTTTGGGAAAATCATTATAAAATCCAAAATTTTGAGTCTATCGAAAAAACCGGAATATATGTCAGAGAAGTGGTCTATGTGCACCTACATACCAAATTTTAGAAGAATCGGTTTTAAAATGTGGGAGTTATTTAAAATTTTATGACGTCACGACACACAAAATTTTTGAAAAATGACTTTTTTGGAAGTTCTAGACCTCGTACGGAAACAAAAATAGCACCATTCGATTCACCGTGAAAAACTGCATCAGATAGACACCTTTTTAGGCCTTAACAACCAACTTCAAAATTTGACCTCACTTGACCTGACCTTGACCTGACCTCGACCTGAAATTCATCCAGAGGTGTTCCATATCACTTATTGAGTGTGCCTATTGAATTCTATGACTAAAATGACCCATAAAACATGTGTCGCACATGCCCTTTTCTATAATTTGTTTTTTGGTGACCTGACCTGACCTGACCTGACCTTGACCTTGACCTCTGAATGATATTGTATGTAACGAATATTGTCTTGGTAGCCTAACAACACGTTTTGGGCGATCAGTCTCAGTCCATGACTCCATTCTTCGGCAACTACGGTGCAAGGCCGATACTGTAGAAACTTGCAATTTGTACCCTTGACCTGACCTTGACCTTGACCTCAAACTTTAAATTAAGTACATGTTTTTAGTAGTTCGTGATGAGAGCTTTCGATTGGCGTTTGAATTTTCCAAATCGGACCATTAGTTCGGGAGATAACAGGGGGGTAAAATTTACCCCCCCCCCAGCCCCGCGCGTTCGGCTGGAGACCCCAGCCCCGCGCGGGTTAATCCAGACCTCTTGAGTCCAAACAACCTTTATCTTGATTCTTGTTTCTTGATTTGTTTTAGTCTTTCCTACGATATAAGCTGACTATCATGGCACTGACTGGTCCATGAGAGCGTTACAGAGTTGCAAAAATAAATATCTCGCAACAGGTTCTTTCAAAAGTGTTAAGGTTATTTTTTCTTCATCACTGAGGTCAGTGGAGGTTTAAAAAATCAACTATAACGAAAATTCGGCCCATACCTTGTGAAACAGAAGAACTAGAGTCGCAGAAAAGCGCATTTGATACCTGTTTCAAAGCTCTTCTGCTGACATGCCCTTCTGAAATCTGACCTCAGGTCAACGTTTTGGCCCAAATAGGGCAAAACCCACCGACATACGAGTATATGGACTTAGCCCCACCTTAACTTACTTAGACTTATTTCGTCGACTCCATCTAGTAGATGCAGGATCATTTCTGATCGTCTTCCAATTATGTTAGCTGTCTGGATGATATCAATTTTCAGGACATCATAGTTGGGAGGACTCTTTAACAGTTACTCTTCTTGGTTATATTCTCAGTGAGTTCCTTGCGCACACGGGCTTGGTAGATATAATGGATGATCCAGCTTTGTGGCTTATCGGCGATGATGATAAGTTCTGCTGCTGGTAGCGTTCTGTTCAAGATAGTTTTGTATATTTTTTGAGCAGCTACTCTATCGTCTTTCAGTTTGTCACATTCAAAGAGCATGTGTTCCAGAGTTTCAATGGCATTACGATACAATGGACAGACAACAGTTTCTTTGTGCCTTCTAACCATGCTTGTGGCCACCAAAGAGTGGCCCGTTAGTAGGACAATTTTGGTTAGTGTCGCTTGTCTGGTAATTGCGCTGTACTTGCTTGCCGGCCAAAATGTTTTCGGCGCCTCGTACTTTTCGGTTTGTGGCAGTAGCGAAAGCCAAAACAAACTTGTCATATTCTCTGCTGTGTTCCTGATGATTTTTGTCATACTTTGATCCACTGATGCTGATGCTAACTTGTTCCATGCTGTCCGCGGTTGGTCTATTTTTTGATTAGCCAGAATAGAGAGGCTTGGTAAGTTCAGATGTTGGAGCAATGTGTCCCATTGGCGCACAAGACTCGTGGTTCGATCAGCATTGACTGCTCCATGGGTGATGATATATCTGGTTAGAGTGTGTTCCTTCGCAGCTCTCAGGAGGAAACCTATGAATTGGAGTGCGGTTCTCATTACGAGGCTTGTGCATGTCGGTGCACCCAACATCACATATGTCACCATTTTTTGCGTTTTGGTTGGTAAACCTTGGATGAGACGGTAAATGCGCATGAGCATTCCTTCCAAGTACATGATATCTGTTGGTGAAAGGGATGTAACTGCTAGGCTGTAAACCAAAGCGAGGGCTAAAAAACTTTCGCCTGTTAGGGTCAGTTATGAAAAGATTCAACCTTCTATCTGCAATGCATTTTGTGTCGCAAAGGACGTCTGTGGTGGCACTATTATAACACCCTGCAGTCGGGGAGTGCTTACTCGTATCTTGACTCTTCCGGGTCAAAAACAAAAAGGCGCAAGGTAACGAAACTCACAGTATGTATATATTCACTTATCACACAAACAATATATTGCAACGTATTTCACTGATCTAGACACCAACATATGGTAAACCCTCACCCGCTCCCCACCGAAAACGTTCTCAAGTTCCGCCTAAAACCACAGAACTCGCACCAACTCTTCCCGACAAGACGCTTCCCAAGCAGAGAAGCACCTCGCTCGGCGCGGCATCCCGCTTGGACGCACTATCGAGCCTCAGAAACAGCCCGATTCGATATCCATCCCTTCTTTCAGCACACTCAGAAGTCGAGCGCGCAGATGAGCGCCACACCCCGTTTGATCCAGTGCGACTGCGGCTGCTCGGACGGCAGCTCCACTGACAGGACATAGTTGGTGCTGTGACCCGTCGTGCTTAGCGTTCCGGCGCGTGTCAGCGTCTTGTACACGGGACAGAGGTAGAACCCGCCGTCGGGAGGCTGCCGGTTCTCCACGGGCAGAAGCCACATCACAGGCAGCTGGGTGTAGAGCTCCCTGGGCCGGGACTCGCCGAGGGCGCCGGCGGCCGCGTCCCAGCCAGCGCCCTCGAGGAACAGGCCGCGCACGTAGCAGCCGTCCTCGGGAGCTGAGGTCGGCTCGCTGGAGAGCACGCTGAAGCCGAAGCCGACCGTGTCGATGCTGACCACGTGACGTCGGGCGAAGTTCTGCAGCGTGCCCGTCAGGAACGCCTGCGAGCGACCCCAAGGTGAGGTTATGGAAGAGGGGGGCAGGATAAGAGGGAGGAGGATGTGTTAAAAACGGAGTCAGCAGGCATGCATCAAAGTACGTACCCACATCCAGGCAGGGACACAGGTACGGTCTCGTATATGCATCTGTGAGATCTAAAGCTAGTCACAGTCTCCCAGCTATCATGCACGTATGTCTGTCCACGTCCACGAGACAGATCTTCCGACCGTTACCTGTGGGAAGAAGAAGCCGGAGATCCAGTAGACGGGCGGCATGCCGTCCTCGATCCAGCCCCTGATGAACTGCGTCCGCAGGATCAGGTCCTCCACCCAGGCACCGAGAGGTTTGAGGGACGGGTACGCCTTCCCTGCCCACATCTCTGGGACCTGCAAGACACAGGCAAAGGAATAGGCGAGAGATTCATGACGACTGTTTTTTTTTTCTTACGACGATAGTTCACTGCTAGAGTGAATGGAGGCTGGAGCTATAAATCAATATGTTCTTGGAATTATAAACTCATGCGTGAACACAAAACTCGATTGGTTCTGTCGCTTAGAGGCATGCATGCACACAGCATATTGCATAGTGCTAAAAGCTTCCTCGAGTCTTCAACAATACTGCAGCAGCCAACCATAAACGGCACACATAAATCAAGGCATCTTACACAAATATAAAGGCCCACCTTGGAGTTGAACAAGGACGTGGCCATTCGCTCAAGACCTTGCGACATGACCACAAGACCCTTGAGGGCCCGGAGAAGCTCATTTAGTGACGTCTTGATGACACTCAGCAGACCGTTGTAGCGAATGGCCTCCTGTACCAGCACCGTGTTCATGGACTCACTGTACATCACTGGGTACCTGGGGACACGGACGGGTGAAGGAGTGGCTGGACCATTTACACAAAAACACGTAGCAAGCCATCAGCTAGCATGGACAGTGAATCATCAGACAGATCAGCTTATGCAACGGAGTAAGTGGTTTGCGTGAGCATGAGCATCAGACTCTCACTTGGCGGATATGCTGGGTATGTCGAACGGTTCGACCAGCTTGCCCAGGATCTGTCTGGCCGCTTGCTCGGACACGTCGTCAGCTGAGGCTCCCTGCTGTCCTCCAGAGCGAGGCTGAAGTTGCAGTAGCGTATTCAGACAAGTGAACGTCTCGTTCTGGGCAAATGTGATGTCTGCGTTGGCGTGAAGACCGAACAGCTCCGGCGAGTCGTTGATGGGCAGACTGCGGATGTAGGCGAGATACTCGTCGTGTGCGACATCCGCGTCCACTTGGTGGTACACGCCACTGGCGTCGAACTCGTGTTCAGTCGCCAGAACCTAGGAATGTGTGGAGAAAAGATATAACGGCGTGGAATGGATGAGGCAGCATACAGGTCGTTGTGTAAAACAATGGCGTTAATTTCCGCAATGATCAGACCAGAAGCTACTTGTGGGATTCGCGTTTGCATGCCCTGACAACAGTGAGCAGCATAACCTCATGCAAAAAGGCTTGATCTTTTTTTCTCAAAGCTCAAGCAGCAAGGTTTCTTCTTAAATTGTTTTAAGATAAGGACACTGAAGACGTTAAGCTGAATTGTCACCTACCTCGCTCCGATAGTAGTCTGCTAGGATGGTGAGGATGCAGCGACGGTCCTGGTCGTCGGTAACACGACCACCGTAGTTGATGTGGCCCGCCGTGTACCGTAGAACCTACAAGCAGAACAGGATCGAAATTGCAAGCCATGGAATGTGACTCGTTTCAAATTTAGGAAATCTTTATACAATATCATACCTAAGGGACAACGTTGACCAAAATTAGGTACTGGAAGGTGATTCGTAAAAAAAAACATATGGTGCATGCTAGAAAAGACAATATATTGACGGCTTACCGGGAAGGGGATGTCTTCGTACTCCTCCAGGAACATTTGCAGCTGCGATATGCAGATACGCAGGTCACCGTCGGTGAACGCATAGGGAATGTTGAAGCCCAGCGGTCCGAACTTCCGTCGCTCCAGGCACACAGCGTTGAAGAGTGACAGTGAGAAGAGCAGCCGTCGTAGCGTTTTGGACTTGTCGCCGATCGAGTCCAGCATCTCCGGCGAGATCAGGCTCATGTAGGCCTTGAGCATGTTGGCTTTGACACCGCGTGGTGGTTCGATGGTCATCTTCATTCCATTCTGCAGCACCGACAGTGGGAAGGAACTGGAGGGAGTTGATGTCAGCCATAACCTGAAGTCCTTGTGCATCGTCTCAGGCGTCAGGTTTTCGATCAGCCGCTCCATCGTTGGCATCCATGATGGTGCCAAGTGACAGTTCTGGAAGAACACCCAGCGGCCTTTTTCAACACCCTGGCGCATCAGACCCTCAGCGATCGGCCCCTGGCCTTGGCCCAACGAGATGGACAGAATCTTTCTCGCAAAGCCCTTCTCCTCGGCGAACTTGTAGAGCGCCGCTGCTGGATCAGTGCCGGCTGACAGCACCAGGATCAGTGGCGTCATCGGACCGGCGTCCTTGAAAATCTCGGCCAGACTGGACGTCTGAGGCTCGACGAACCTCACTCCCAGGTGGTTGGCGACAAAGTCCTGCATGCCGTTGGTGACGCGATCTGGGCGGAGGCAACGCAGCAGCACCAGACGCTGGAAGTCCTGCAGCTCCTCCCACTTTCCTGGCAGCCGCTCACGGTGTGGCTGAGTGCTGTCGAACACATTCTTGAACTTCCTCGAGATTTTGTAGTCAGCGAAGTCCGCTGGCAGGTCTTTGAACACGGACAAGTGATCACCGGCAGCCAGGATCTCTCGCCAGCATCGTTCAGGCAGCCAGTCGGTGGCCGGGTTTTCCTTGATTTCTCCGGTTGGTGTTCCTCCTGCCAAGAGATACCGGTACTCCTCCACGTTGATGGCGCCCTGCTCAGTCATGATGCGGATGGCCATGAGGAATGCAAAGAGGAGCTTATGACGCTCGAACAGCGACCGGCAAATGTTCTGGTACAGGCTGTAGGTGAAGAACTCGTTGATGTTCTCCACGCGGGTCGGCACGCTGTCAGATTGGTCAGCTGTCTGCATGCTGTTGTGGAACGTCATGAGGAACCACTCCAAGGAGTATTGGTACATGGGATCTATCTGCGAGAGACTTGAGACGCAGAAGAAGAGAATCCTGGCTCTGATGGAGACGGGAATGTACAACGCTCGAGTGACGTTGATGTCCTTCTCAGTTTGCTCAGCAACTTCCACTTTTGCTTTGATCTCTGTTGATTTGGCCTTAGAAACATCCAGCGTCTCTATCAGTTCGATGTCGTCAACTGGTGATCCCTCAGACGAGCTGAGCTTGTACAAGATCTTATCTTCGAGCTCCTTCAGTTCCTGCTTCATGGCAGCGTTCGATGTGATCAAGTTGTTCCTCGAGTCTTCGAGATCCGGCCTTTCCTCTGCAACGACAACTCCAAGAAGCTGGTCCTGGAGTCCACTCTCCACCAACGTGAAGTTGATGATGTTGACCTTGGTGCACACTTCTGGAGAGTAGTGTGGATTGGGGATCTTGGTGGTGATGTACAGCTTGAAGTCATGATGGTAGGGTACCATGGAGTCACCGAGCTTGATGACCCATGAGCCAGCCTGCTTGACAAGCTGCTTCATCAATATTGGATCCAGCGCCGGGTCCAGCTCCTCACCGACGTTCTCCAGCATGCAAGGCTTGCCAAAGCGGATGCTGTTTTCCATAGTTCTGAGATAGTCTTTTTCTGAGAGACGTGTCACTTCGAGGCCGTTCTCTAGCTCCATGCTCTTAGCCCACTTGTTTGCTTGCCCTTGTGGATCAATGAATAGCGGCCAGCGGTCGGAGAACTTCATGATTAGCGCGTTGTCAGTGGACACGGCATCTTTGGGCAGACCAGCCAGCTGCCAGTTTCGTATGACAATCTGGTCGCCAAGTGTCGACTGCAGACAAGCGCTAGGTGAGTGGTTGACGCCCAGCTCGGTCAGTTTTCTTTCCCAGCGAGTCATGAGGTCCTGGCGGAACTCTCCAGTGAACGGGCCGAGGTACGCCACCACGCCAGAAGCCAACAGAATGTCGCCGACCACAGCGTCGAGCAGGCCGTCGAATGTGGCCACCGTCTCGGCCCAGCGATCTTTCTCGTCAGCTAGGCCTCCAATGAGTTTGTCAGCACGCACCAGACGCTGTTGACACTGTTCAGACTTGTCCTCGAGCTCCTTTTTATGCGCTACACATGCGGCTAGCTCGGCGTTCAGCTGTGCCAAACCATCCTCCACAGTTTTCAACTGGCCTTTAGCCTCTTTCAGCACCGCCTCGGTGGCTGCTAGTGATGCCTGAGCCTCAGCAAGTGCCGCCCGCTTTGGTGCCACAGCCTTGTTGACGAAGTGGAACTTGTACATGGCACGACACCACATGCACAATGACGTGCAAGCCTTGCTCACTTTGGAAACGGCCTGCGGCATAAAGGCGTCATTCTGAATGTAGGGCGTGAGCTTGTTGATCACGTCGTCTGGGATGTGCTCTTTGTCATATTCAAACAGCGACGAGAGGAAACGCGCAGGGTCCTGCAGCAGGGACTTTCCTGGCTCCCAGTAGTCGTCAAATTTCTGACCAGGCATGTCGCCCGCCACTCGCTTTGGCTTGATGAACTTGAGAATGCACACCGCTTCCATCACGAGTTTCACGCCCTCCGGTGGCCGCTGCATTGCACGAACCTGGAACAGTACATAAAAATGTCAGAAAATGGTTAAAATACGCATCCATGACGGACAAAAGTCGTGTTTAGATACCAGTAAATTATCAATGATGATCAACAAAGAAACGAAATGTGCAAAACCAGAGCGCTTGTCAAACTATGGGAAGCAACAAATACGATTGGTACGTCCTAGTGCCCGACTATGCGGTACAAACAATTAAGTAAGAAACCGACCTCAACCACATCATTCTTGTTCAGTGACTTCAGACTAGCCAAGGCAGCTTCCAGAGCAGGCATCGCCTCATCCAAGTCCTTCTGTGCATCGGCAGCGATTGCTGAGGACTCGTCCTTCTGCTTCTGGGCTTCCTGCTCCTTCTTCATTACCACAGTGCGTGTCTCCTCAGCAACTTTTGTGTCCACCTCGATCTTGCGCATCGTTTCCTGTAGACCGGAAAATAGTCCCGTTTGTGATTTGGTATGGTCGTTAGTTGCTGGTATATTGAAAACTTAAAATGATTTGCCAAGTCAATGACTTTGCATCCATTATGCACCTTACTAATGACTAGTTGAAAGAGTGATTTCACGGATGAAGTGTATTTCAATGATGCAGCTGAGTTACCTGAAGTCTAAATCACAGAACGGGTGTAAAAAACCATAAGGATGGTGCGCTCTCACCTCGGCCACGACGGCTGCGTGCTCCAGCTCGGGCTGCATCGCCTCCAGCTCTACTTGCATCACTGCCACGTCCTTGCCGGTCTGCAGGAGCTTATCCAGACCTGTGCGCAACCGGTTCTTCCCCTGGGTCAGCGCCTCCTGCTGACGGCCCAACAGCGACGCGAAGCACGTCAGAAGCGTGAGGAACGACTTTGGTGTCACATAGTTGTGGCGCGACAGTTCCTGGAGGAAGCGCTGGCTCGCATCAGCCACATCAGTGTGGATGGCTGAGAACATGGCGACGACGCCCTCGCGCAGAGCATTGTCATTCGGCATGGCGGTGACATCGTCCAGATGATGTCTGGCCACGGCGTCCAGGGCCTCGGGTGGCCAGTCAGCGAACCAGTCGATCGTGCAGCAGTTGACCAGCGCTGGGAACTGACGCAGACGGGAGCGGAATGCCTCGCCAATCGGAGACATCGTCACCACGACACGCAGGTTTGAGCGCACGCGGCGGATAAAGGCGGCGTACAGGTTAGCTGTGGTCGGTGGCAGGCCCTGTTCCTGCACCAGGCCGCGTACTGACTGGAAAATCTCCTCCACTTCATCGGACGCGAAGAGATTCGGCACATCTCCCGAGTTGAGCAGACTGTTGATGTCTTCCATGAAGATCTCAGATTTGATCTGTGTGTCCGAGAACAGGAAGACCGTCTGCTGGTCCAGCATGCCTGCCTTCTTCAGGATCTGACAGAAGAGTGAAATCATTGGTAGATTACACCAGTAAAACGCCTTTTGGGCGAAGAACGAGCGAGCGAGGTAGTGAGCCCTGCACGTGCGGAAGGGCGAGAGGGTACTTCAAACGGGGCCTGTGCAAAACACCCTTCTAACCGGTCGCTAGCGGTGTGCCAAATTTGAACGCAATCGGCCCAGCCGTTCCTGAGATCTGGAAGCGGCACTTTGCACGTGCGCACGTGCAAACGGGGTCCAAACTGACTTTTGCACTGCACCCTACTAACTGGTCCCCAACCGTGTACCAAATTTGAGCGCAATCGGCCCAGCCGTTCTCGAGATCTGGAAGCGCCCCCTGCACGTGCGCACGTGCAGTAGCACCCAAGGCTATATAAACCAGGTAGAACGCTCCCGACGAAAAAGTGGTGACAAGCGATAATTAGTTGCCGCGACCCTCACTTGTTCAAGGCTATATCCGCAAGCAGCATTTACAAGCTAGCGGAAATCGACCAACCGGCGCTCGGCTATACTCAACGCTGATTGGTCCGATGCTCGTGACGAAATTGCGGGGGACTGCAGCTATTCCCCTATGGCGTTTAATAGACTTATGACTTTTGAAGGGGATTTTTATCAGTTTTTGTTGGTTTTTAGGCCATTTTTGAGTTTGGATATTATTTCCGTGACTTTTGAATATGTAATAACGACATTTAATCATGACGTTTCTATATACTACCGGTGTCACAACGGCCAAAAAGACCGTAAGTACATGGGATAGACGGACCACTGCTGATGGGGCCGCACATGCCGGTGTGTGGTCATCGGAGGCCCATGAGGGCTCGACATAGGCCCTTTATGGGTCGGTATAGGCCCATCGGGTCCAGTGCAGGCCTACCAGGGGCTGGTGCTGACCCAACAGGGCCCAGTGGCATATAATGTAAGGCTGTCTAGGGACGTTGAGGGCTCATGGGGGCTATATAGGACCATTGGGGACCACGTAAGCCTATCAGGGGTCCATTTAGGCCAATAAAGGCACTTCAGGGGACTTGAAGAGGCCATTCAAGAGCCTTAGTGGGCCAATGAGGGGACGGCATTGGTCCATCAGGTGCAGTCAGGGGATGTTGTACGGGTTTCTTGTAGCCCATTTGGGCATATCAGTGACCAATTTCGAGCCAGCAGGGGCTTTGTAGACCTATCAGGTGCCAGCGTTAGTCCATCGGGGCACGGCATATACCCATCAGAGGTGATTGCGGGCCCACGCTGAACAATGATGGCCCTTCAACGGCCCCTAATGGATCTACTTGGGATCTACATTGACCTATGTTCCATGATGTGTCATGTATTCCCCTATGACAGGCCTACTCAGTCCACTGATGGACGTTCCCGGCCTCTGATGACCCTATATTGAATCCTGGTGGGGCTCTAAGAGTCTCCAATGACCCTTCGTCAACCCATTATTACCATACGCTGGCACTAGGGGCTCCACATCAGCCGCAGGGCAGTCCGTGCCATGACAGCATGTCTTTTCGGCCGATATTACATCGGTAATGTTCATTAAAATCATGATTTTTTGGTGCCATTATATAGCTAACAGTCATAAGAAATATATTTCAACTCGAAAACAGCTCGAAACAGCATATAACCTTAAAGAAACTCCTCCGAAATACAAAAGCCTATTCGGATCCATAGAGAATAACTGCGGTCCCCCGCAATTTCGTCACGAGCGTCGGGCCAATCAGCGTCGAGTACTGCCGAGCGCTGATTGGTGGCTTTTCCGCTAGCGCGTAAGTACTGCTCGCGGAACAAGAGTTCGTCGACAATCCTCCACAAACGTCTGTCACCACTTTTCGTAATGCTTAACAGCCGGAGCGTACCCCCCTGGTAGCACCCTTACCGCAACACATGGGAATGCATTGCCTGGTGGGTGCCTACCTGTATGCCAAGTTTCAGCGAAATCGCCCCAGTAATTACCGAGTTATCAAAATGGGAACAAATTTGACACCTCTTATTGTTGTATTTAGCACGTGCACTGGGGGTGACCCACATGCATCGAGAGTATTCTATTTTTGGTAGAAGGGATGCTGCTACCCTACAAAAATTACCGCAAGTCAATCGCCCAAGCGGCTGCTGAGATACGAGCCTCTCAAAATCACTACTTTTGCAAAGCAGCTTGAACACCCTTGACTTTTCACGTGGCACGTGCCACGACGGTCACTGAGATGTATCAAAAGTAGTCAATTACGGGGTAGAAGGGATGGGGCTACCCAGCAAAAAAGACCGCAGGCCAATCGGTCCAGCGGTTGCTGAGATCCTAAGCCTCTCAAAAGCGTTACAGGCCGGGCCGGGCCGCTCATACTGAGATTTTTCCGTTATATTGAAAAGACTCGCTTCGCTCGCTGCGCTCGCTCGCTCGTAATTATCGTTTACCCGATGAATCGGATACAACCACAACAGAGCATTCAAGATATGTCGCCTAGTACATCCAGATGCAATCGCCCAATGCTACATTATTCACCTCCTTCAGGTCGTTCTTCCAGTCTGGCACGGCGTACGTCTTGGTGAGCTCGATGGACATGCAGTTGCAGTCGGCGATGTGGGCGGAGAAGCGGGTCAGAGACTGACGACCGCTGCCTCCCATTCCCAGCAGAAGAACGTTACCGCGCGGCTGACGCAGCACGCGAGAAATGCGGAACAGATGCTTGATGGCGTCCATGAAGAAGACGATGTCCAGCGGCGTGCTGCTTATCTGCAGAAAAGAACGAGCAGCTGTCGACAAACAAATCATTGGTGCTGGCATCATGCTTGACTCTTGGCTAATAATATCCTTCCTACACTCTTAAAAAAGGCAAACAACAATTTGTATCGAGCTGGGAGGCCCCGAGACAGGGTTGGAATAGTTTAGTAACACATTTCCTTTTTACTTACCTGGTTGTAGTCATCGATGTAGTCTTTGAGCACTTTGCGTAGCTGGACGTGGTCTGTAAAAAAATATCAGCAAAGGTTGTTGTCATTGTTTTTTAGCGTTTTTGTTGTACCTAGTAATAAAATAAATAGCAAACTTTTACACCATGCGCAAAAAGCTAATAAGGCCAACATGACGTTGGATCTACAATCTACAGGGTTCCCTAGCATATACTTCCCCTGCTGCAATGGATCTGAATGCCAAACAATCGTTTGATACGCATTCAGATTACGTCCTTACCGGTGACTTCAGAATATGGCTTCTTTTCCGAGTTGGGGTACATGAGATCTCCGAAGAGGATGGGGTCGTGGTTCAGCACTTCGTCTGGCTTCAGTTTGAACCTCTCCTGAATCTCCCCTCGGATCAGCTGGTCCAGCCAATCCCGGTCCTCGTCACAGACCAACCGGTCCTGGAATACTCTACAAGTCTCGTGGTACCTGGTGACAAAAAAAGAAACAGAAAGTTCACTACATAAGCTCAAAAACAGCTTTTCATTGAAAATAAGGCAAGAATAATTGTCAGTAAAAATACGGACCCGATATAGGTTATATGTCTTGGATATTAGACGTCATCTCCAAGATCAAGGCATTGCATAAACAAGTTTTTCTTCACCAGTGGTGACAACCAAATATCAGCAGCGCTCACTGATGAGTCATGCTGATGAAGAAAAGGTAAACTCCCAGCTGAGATCACTCACCAGAGTCGTAGCATGGTCGGCAGATCTTCGATCTTGTTGGCGGCTGCCATCCAGATGCCCTGAAACACCTTGCTGAGGTCGCGCAAGTTGAACGTGTAGTGGGACTTGGCCGGCGTGGGCAGCAGCTGCGCAGTCAGCTGGGCGTACATGTCGACGCTGGAGGCCACGATGTCAGCGCCGCATCCGTCCAGCTTGGGCAGCTGAGTCAGCCACACGTTCAGGATCGAGCCGTAGATGTGGCACTTGCTCTCATCCTCCACCTGATAAGCGATTATCGGCATGTTTTCATTTTTGTTTTATAATGCGCATACGAGAGATAAAAATTGGATACCAAAAGTCCGAAACATAATCTAAGGATTCGATGATAAAATATTTATGGCGCCAATCGTTCGGGTCAATCAAAAGCTGTTGGAAACAGCGATTTTGATAAACGTACAAAAAGGAAAGAAAACGCTCTAGCTATATGAGAAGATACTGATGAGCTGCTAATGCCTACCTCTGGGAAGGAAATGGTGCAAAAGTGCCTCAGGAGTCGAGCGGACACGGGGTTTCGTCCGCCACCCGGAGGACCCATCGCAGCGATGAACGTCACGTCCACGAGAGTACGGAAATCGCCGATCTGCTTTCGGTCGTACCTGACAATATTAAGTTTGGGTTAAAAACAAAGTGATACACATAGTCAAGACACTGTAACACATTTATGCTACCCAAGCGTCGCTGTAATAATGGCTAAATTATCTGTTATGAAGTTATTTCAACTCGCTCGCTGAAATAATTGCTTTTTGAGTGACTTACAAAAATACGCCGACTTATATTGTTGGGATGCGGCGCAGGCATAATCACGAGCGTTGTTTGCATCTCATCATTGTCGTTTGAAAAAAAATAGTACCTGATGTAAGGCGGTAATGACTGTGAAAAATATCAAAAAATGCCCAAAACAGCAGCTCACCATCCGCCGAAGTCGGCCCACTGTCTGAGCAGCTCCAGGGGCGGCTGTGCTCCGTACGTCTCCAGTGCCGGCATGTTCAGGTCATCAATGAAGAACACCAGATTCTTGCCGGCTGGCGGTCCAAACTGTCCCTTCCGACGTCTGTCCAGCTTCGAGTCGATCAGGTCCTGCGTCTGGTTGGCCGACGTTCGCGCCGAGAACGTGATGAACTCGCTGAGGAAGTTGGCCGGCATGCCGGTCATCAGCTTCTCGCTCACCGTGGCCGTCTTCGAGGTGCCGGTGTTGCCCACGCAGAGCACCGGCATAGAGTTGGTGAGATACATGCCAATCAGATGAGCGTTTCGCACAATGTCCATAGTTGGGATGAGGATGTCTGTGAACTGCGTGGCTGGGGTGAGGGAGAGCTGAATCCCGTCTGCCAGCCAGTTCTGCCATCGCGGCGGCTCGATGGCCGATTCTTCAACATCCGTGTTGAAGATGCCTCCGTCCACTAGCCTGTAGTCGTAGACAAGTCCTTCCTCCGGGAAGAGAAGCTCTTGGCCTTCCTCCGCCATCTTATCCCTCACCCAGCGATCCATGACACGTCTTCCGGCGTTGTCACAGGAGCCGCACACACTCCACACGAGTGAGAACATGAACCAGGGCGTCACCAGCGGCGGCACCTTCTGTAGGCGCTCCACTGAGTAGTGCCGCTTCGTGAGCACAGCACAGTTGGCAGACATCAGGCGCAGCAGGGTGGCGCACAGGTTCGAGTCCACCGTTGCTACTATTTCTTTCGTGTTGGCGCGCATGTGAGCGATAGCTGGTTCCAACCAAGAGTCACACAGCGAGCGAAGTGTGTCCCAGTACGGCTTCATAGAGTCAGGTAGCGTGCTTAGCCAAGACTCGACGAGGGCATTGAGCCTCAGTCCACTGGGCTCGAGGTACACCATGCCGCAGCGACTGACAGTGGCTGGAGACGCCTGGGCCAGGTCACCCACCTCAAACATCATCGTCTGCGTGGCGTCCAGCTTGATGATTTCGCCGCTGCTTAAGCACAGCTTTTTGTTGTCGTCGAGCACGGTGTTCATGTTTTCGATCCAGACGGCGTCTACCGGACCGTCGAACATGTACCACTTCTTGTCCAGACTCTCGGCAGCGCAGCCCACACGAATCAGCGTCGACAGAATGCCGTCTGTCCACTCGTGTGTCATCTCATCAAACTCTCCGTACAGCTGTCCCATCGTGATGGACTTCGGGTTCAGCACGTCCACAAGCACTGGCGTGAAGGGAAGACCGTCTGGACCGGACTTGCCCTTGATGCGGCTGATGGCTCCCTGCAGTACCTGGTAGCAGCGTGTTTTGCCTGAGCCGGTAGGTCCAACCAGCATCAAACCATGACGCACCATAGTTGTCTCAAACAGCTGGATGCATTTGCCGATGAAGGTGGGCACTGGCTGCAGGTTCTTCCGCTTGCATTCCCGCAAAAGAGATGCCTCTAGTTCATCGTACTTGATCTCCTCCTCTTGCACTCTCGGGAAAAGATCACTGATGATGCCGGTGAAGAGTTTCAGGTCCTCCTGTAGGAATTTGGGAACGTTGACATCTTTCAGCGCCCTCAAGACGATCAGCTCTTCGCCCATCGTGGGGTTTTGCCGCTTCAGGTTTCCGGCCGCGGCAATGACCGTCTTCACAGCACGCATGCCGAAGTCGTAGTGGTCCTGGGTGCTCAGCTGTTCTGAGCTCAGCTTGAACGTGCTCGTGATCTTGTTGGCTAGCGCCCGCGCGTTGCTGAAGCCAAACGAGAACAGTGATATTTCAGCGATGAGCGTGTAGTTGGGTACCATCATAGCCACCGGCCGGAAGAGCGCACTCAGGTTGTCAGGCAGCTCTGTGCGCCCTGCGTATCCGGGGTTCATCGTGATAAACACGGAACAGGTCGGCTTCAGCTGCAGCTCGACTCCCTCAAACAGGAAGCGATCCATCTTGGCCACCAGCGCCTTCTGGATGCAGCTGATCTGTTGTGCCACCACCGACAGCACCTCGATGTCGATCCGATTAAACTCGTCAAAACAGGCCCAGGCACCAGCTGCCGCCAGACCTTTGAAGAACTTCCCCATGGCCATAAAGTCCAGCTGATCGGAACAGTTGAAGACCACGCACTGGACGGCCATTGCCTTGCCCAGGTCCTTGGTGGTCTCAGTCTTGCCGGTACCTGCCGGTCCTGCTGGCGCACCGCCGAACTGAAGGTGCAGAGCGCCGGTGAGCGTCAGGTAGCAACGGTCTGTCAGAGGTGTGATCACTAGACGTCCAGTGTTGCCCAAGTACTCAAACCCGTACCCGAACTCAGCGTTCACGTGCTTCAGACGCAGGTCTTCCTCGATCCAGTAGTACCTGTGGGATTTGAAACAAAGGGTATGATACTAGCGTGCGTTTGTCTCGCATGTTTTGTCCTAAAACATGAGCACTTGTTGTTTTACATAGCATGGCTACAGTTAGGCATAATTTTGCATGCTATAGATTGGATAATATGAAGGGATAATCACGGTGTAGTTGAACACAGAATAATCAGATGCATTGCCGCTTGTAAAGTCTATAGGTATAAATGGAATATTTTCCGTTACCAGATATCACTGTGAGGCAGTGATATCTGGTTTTGGAACGGCCTGAATGGCTAAATGCAAGACAACAATATTCATGATCTGAGATAAAATTGATATGGCTACCTGAGCTGTCCGATCCAGGAGAAGCTGTTGACGTCCGTGACACCGTCGGCCACCATCTCCTGTACGACGTCTCGGGCGTGCACCTCGATGACGATCAGCGCAGAGAGGATGTTACGCTGTAGTGCCGTCAGGTCAGTACGGATCAGGTTCCGCAGGTCGTCCAGCTGCTCCAGCTGCAGCTCGTAGCTGAAAACACAGAAAGACAATTATAATTGTCAATTATAATTGTGTTGAAAAATATAGTGGACCACTCAGTGTGGGGTGTCATTACTGCAAGTGTCAAAGGGCAAGTAAACTGCTTCGGTAAGTTTCAATAGTACTTCAAAGTTCAGTTGACATTTAGCAATGCGCATATGCATTGACACTAATGATTACAACTTGGACGTTGCAGCCATGATAAGAAGCTAGTCAACTCAACTTGCGTCGTCAGTGCCATATCAAGCCCGCGCTGCACTTACCGCTTGCACCCTTGCCCACATCCCTCCCCCGTCTTTCAGTACCGTTATCCTCAGTCACACTTATTCATACCCGTCTTTGAGAGCTCCGGCAGCGATGGCGCGATCCGTGTTGGCTGACCACACACTCTGACATCCCGCGATCACCAACTGTCCAGCCCAATTCAGCACCCACTCAGGCCTCTGGGGCTCCGAGTAGGCCTCCAGTGCCTGAGCCAGCTGGGCCCGCAGCGAGGCGCGCATCGTTGACTCCACCTGAAATGGAGGAGCCATAGTAATACGCTATATATAGTACTGTGTTGGTAAAGTTGGTACATAAGCATTGTGATTCAAGACTGAAGCAGGAGACAGTGATCCAGCGCCGCTCCTGCTCACTTATAAACCATCTCAGTGATCAATTACAGGCTCCCCTTGCACTACGTCACCAATATAATCAAAACGTGTTTCAGGTTCAAGCATAAGCGACGCCTGATGTTTCACGATACAAAGGAAGGGGCCAAGAGAAGATCTTACCATCAGAAGCCAGTCCTCAACGTTGCCCCGAGGATACATCGGCTCATGGAAGGGCACCGTTTCACCGTCTGCTGAGCACATAGCCGTGATCTGCAGATCTTCCTGGAAAAGATTACGCGAGATGTCCCAGGGTAAGCACTAAGCAGAGCTGTGAGTCATAAAGATCAATGTGCTTCCATGTACATTACACACGTCTAAAATGGACAAAGCAAACAGTGTGAGTTTTTTCAGAACTTTCCTATTTTTCATCTGTTGTCTCCATTGGTTGTCATTTATACATTTGTTTTATTTTGCATATGTGCTCCTTGTGTGCGTAAATTTTTTAAAACATTCAGCCATATGTGCAATTACACCTACTTCGAAGGTGAGACGAGAAATGCTCTCGAAGCATTTCTTGAGGTGAGGCTGAACCGCTTTGGGGTTCTTCGTCTGCGAGAGAATCTCCAGGAGCTCTTCATCGCTGAGGAAGAAGAACCGAGGAAACGCCATCCTCTTGGTCTCCAGGTATTCACTCAGTCCCTTTTGAACCTGTGGAAGAACAATAAAACATTGCTATATAACATGAAAGCATGCATGGTGCGTGTGATGCCAAACGCATCTTCGTGTGCGTATGTTGTAGAGTTTATGTGAAAATGCGTAAATCATGCACGTTTCATTCAGATATATATAAGGCTACGATTTCAAAGCTGCAAAGCGCTCGGACAGATTCAGACTGCAATAAACTGACAAGTGAGTGAGTAACTTCAAAGCCACCTATCACTCTGGGCTTGGCTTGGTAGGTACAGTGCGTTAAGTTAGATAGGTCACCAGCGATATGTGTGCATGCACCGTCCACTGACCTGTTCCAACAGATTGTTGCAGTCCCTCAGGTTGTCCAGAAGTCTCTGATCGGGGCAGAGTTCCATCACTTGCTGGTTTTCTAGGGCCTTCTTCATGATCTTCTTCCATGTCTTCTCCATGGTGTTGTACCGCTTGGACTCGACCGGCAGCTGCCTACTGATGTCATCACTGCTGAAGATGGGCTCCAGGTAGAGCCACGCTCTCTGGCAGGCCACCCACTCGTCAAAGACGTCCTGAACCAGCATCAGCTTCTTCTCCCACTGGGCGATTCGCTCTTCAAATGGAGCCTTGAACGGTGAGAACACCATCGACTGGGTCATTACCACGTGATCATCCAGCAACTGGTAGGCCTCGTCGCTGAACTTGAGGATCGAGAGGCCAGTGTCCTTGTAGGGTAGGAACTCCAGCGCCATCGCTCTCCATTCTGACTCCATCTTGTCGAGCGCCTGCTCGATGCTGTACTCCTTCCCGGCGATCTCACCTACCTCGGCGATCTGGTCCGTGTAGTTCTGCAGACCCATTTCCAGACACTTTGCGAAGGTAAGCGTGGCCTTCGGCACGATCTTGATACCGATCAGATCGGAGAGCTTCTCCCAGTGACGGTGTCGCATGCCCGGATTGCGGAGACCCATGATCAGCGGAATGTGAGGTTTGAACGCTTCGATCTCATCACGAATCTCCTCGGCTACTTTCATGATTGCCGGCATCTCCTCAAAGTTCTTGATGGCCTTGTGCATAGTCTTGAACGCCTCTGTCACGTTTCGTTCGATGCTTTCGGCATCCACTCCCTGGAGAGGGTCGTTCATCCAGGCTTCCTGCCAGCGCAGCCAGTCACTCGCAGTCAGCCAAAGTGCACGGTATGGCTCACAGTCCTTGATTAGCTTTGCGAGATTGTCATATGGAGTCAAGTCCATGCCGAACAGTCTCTGTCGCTGGTTCAACAGCTGGCCTTGCTCCTTGCACTCGTTGAGCTGCTTCCAGACTCGCCTGACCTCGTTAGCGACCTCGTGTGCTTTGGTGATGTCGTTGAAGGCCGTCATTCCGGCTACAAGCATGGTGAGGTTGTCTATCTTGTCGTTTAGCGTCCCCTGGTCTTGTAGCTGACGCTCCTTAAACTTGTCTTCCTCCTCGATCAGACGATCCGTGGTTTCTTCGAGTAGAACTTCGATCTTGTATGGCCAAATAGACATGTCACCTTTGGCACTAAAGTCACTGTTAGACAGAGGATGATAAAAGAAGTCTAGCACATCATAGTCCTTGATGAACTTAATCGTGTTGTCCTTCTCAGCGCGAACGAGCTCTGGCACCGTGTCCATGAACTCCCTGAGCTCAGTCACGTCTTCGATCTTGGAGCACTTCGTGGTCATCCTGCTCACCATCTTCATGTAAGCACGGTTGACTTCTTCGGCCTGCATGAGTAGTATCTGTGCAAGATGATCCAGTGTGGCATCGATCAGAGCCTGCTTCTTCTTCAGGATAGCCGATCGCAGCAGGTCTGTGTTCACGTAGAACGGTCCAATGACGACATGAGATGGGAGCGCTCGTTCGGCCTCGTCATAGTCGTCGCGGAGCACTGCGACATCGTCCTGGAAGGTCTGTGCGGTTGCCTCTTCATCATACTTCTCTGCCAGGTACTTCGGGATATCCAAGTTGTAGATCCACTCATACTTGGTGTATGCCTTGGCATACGCCTTCATGGGAATGGCGATCATCTCCATGGTCTTCTTGAGACGATCTCTCAGGACCGTGATCTCTGGATTCATCAGCCCTATGGAGCTGAGTGGCGTGCGGTCAGGCCAGAAGATGTTGTCCAGCACCAGGGGCTCGAGTGGTGGCACGTCGTGTGTCACTGTCACACCATGCTCGAACACGTTGAGCATCACCTTGACGAACCGTTCCATGGGTGTGGAGTACAGAGGCCCGTTTGAGTCAATCTGCAGCTCTACGTAGAAAAACGGCTGAGCTGGGCCGATCATCGGGTGCTGCACCAAGTCCTCGCCCCACTCAAAGTTCTCTTCACAGGACAAGAACTTGCCGCAAGTGCTGTCCATGGTGTCCACCAGTGCAGCGCAGGAGTCTCTTGCCAGATACCGGAGAGAGTCTTGCATCATGACGCGAATCAGAGCAAGGATCTTGCATAGTTTTGACATGCAGAAGATCTCCCACTTTGCCACGAACAGATCAAACCAACCCTTACCCACATCGCGCAGGTTGTTGTGGAGGTGGTCTCTGAATCGTGCCAGCCACAGAGTCTGGAGGTGGGTTAGGACCTGTTCATGCAGGTTCATTTGGATGGTCTCGAAGTCGTCGATCTTGAGAGGCTTTGCCACTTTTAGCACGAACATCTGCATTTCGCGCACTTTCAGACACTCCATGTTGACGTTCTGCATAGCGAAGATGGCTTCCTTTTGGGTCAGGATGCTGAGCACCTTCACGATGCGGAAGGTCTCGGCGAAGTCAATGTGGTACACCCCGTTGCGGTCGAAGGCGCGCTGACCCTGCAGCGGGTTGTCCTGCGGCGGAGGGCGCAGCTTGACGATCTCACGCAGCTTCTGGTCACGATGCAGTGCCGTGTCCAGGATCAGACGGTTCTGATAGCGCAGAAAGTCCAGCTGCAGCTCGTCCTGCAGCTTCAAAATGCGCTCGTTGCACTCTTGAACCTTCAGTGGCTTCCCAGGGGTCGAGCGAAGGAATCCCATGATCCGAGTTACCTGAAAAAACGAGTTTATTATTTTCAGGGACGAGACTAACTATTCGGCTGATAAATAAGTCTTAGTTTACTTATCATTTCACCTAAAATCAAAGCATGACCAAACCAATACTTCCTATTCCATATGTGCGAACATGCTTTGCAATAATACACAATCTTTGCAAAAAAGTGCATTTTTTGCCCATCTGCAACATTATTCGTGGCAGCTAGCCAGCTATGACCGGGGAATCATTGAATAGTTTTCCTTGTATTGATTTAACGCTCACCCGGCGAGGGGGGTGATGCACCCCCCTAAGGTATTTCGCAAATAACGTAAAAACGGCGGTGCGGCGCCAAATTTAGCATACCCTCTGGGGCAACCTTTATGCACCTTTCCTAAAAATTTGAAGTCACAGTCTTTTCAGGTCAGGTCACCAGGTCACAAAAACCGGTACAAGGTCAGGGGAAAATTGGACTAGCATAGCGGCAACTGAATTCCAGAGTTCACTTAAATTGGTAACAAAGTATATCATTCGATGCGCACGGACGTCCTGAGTTCACTGGTGCTTTTATTTTTGCTCTATCTTTACAAGGTAAAAACTTAGAAGCGAAAAACGGTTGACATGTTTCAGCCAAATTTTTGCACTCATAGGTACCCCCAAAACCGCCTAGATATTGACTTAGAGTCACCAAACTTTCACAGGGGCGAAATCTCCTATGGACCCACCTACCCTGTAAATTTGGCGTTTCTAAGTGCCATAGGAGCCAATAGCGGGTGAGGGGGGTCGTACCTACCCTCTCCCCCTCGCCGTCCGTGTTATGGAAAAGGCCCTCGCCTGGCGAGGGTTAGGAAGCTATCAGTTGCCGCTAGAATATTAAAAAATAACGACCCATTACAACTCCGAAAACTTTAAACGTTAATTACGCATCCTGAGGAATAGTTTTAAAAACGACACTCAAGTCAACTCCCATTACGCTTATAATAGAGGTCACTAGAAGGACCGCAAAAAACTCTTAAAGGCATGTTAACAAGTTCGTATAAACGCCAACGCGCAAGCTAAGTAAATTCGCGGAGTGTACACGTATGTAGGTATATCATATCAAACAAATTTTGATTCAGAAAAGTTTCAATAAAGCCTCGCCGGACCTATCGGTTTTCTTCATACTAGGTGCATAGGCTGAGGGGGGGGGGCGGGTACGACCCCCTCGCCGTTTTCAGTGCCCTAAGGTACAATTCCGTTTTTGGTAAATAACTTAACCCATTAGAGCCGAAAACTTTTTTTGTCGACTTTCACTGCGATTTTAGCATATGTTTGTCAGGCACCCTTAAGGAGAATACATGTGCATTTTTAGCCAGATCACGAAACCGGAAGTGTACGTTTCCGGTCTGGCAGCTTTTGCTGCCAAGCGTATCTTACATAGTCAAAAATGGAGTGGTTTGTCACATTTCAAAGCACAAACATATCAAAACTGCGAGGAAATGATCTTTCGATACCAACAACCTTTGCCACAGAGTGTCTCCTGTTGGTGCATGTACAATTTTCACGAACTATTTTATTTACGTACCAGATATGATCTTGAATATGTGTAATTGTTAAGATTTCCATTCGACCGTAGCCTGCAAATAACGACCGTAGCCAATAATTCTCAAGAATAATGAACTCAGTTACTCAAAATCCAGACCTCAGCTAACAGTTCAGCTCGTTCTGAGAGATCATGTTCTTTCTCTCATTATTTCAGCTCACACGCGCTTCCCCTCCCCACAAAATATTATACAGGATGCGACGAAGGTTTTGATGACTTCCGTCGACCGTTTATTTAAAGCAACTTGGCGTGTTTCCAATGTGCTCTTAAATATCGCGTTCCTTTCAACGAATTGTGTCCCTGAGTCTTTCTCTGAAGCGGAGATTATCTGAAAATCTGACCTTTACCAATGGGGGTCACTGGCATGGGTAATTGTTTAACCATGATTGAACGGCGCATTTACTGAACGTCTAAGCATGAAGGTTTAGCTTTACAGTTCAGAGGTTCGTAGTTGCGCTGTTGGCATGCTCCAAGCTGGCAAGTGGCAACACATGGAAGGACACTGCCTCACACTTCTAAGCCCCCGTTTTCACCAACAAGCGCTGGTGGAAGAAGTTTAGGGACAAGTAGCGTCACGCATAAGCCCCAATCAGCATGGTCCTCCTGCGTCTCAACCGTCGCCAAGATCGTCATGAAGAAAGCGCCTGGAAAGTCTGACCATTCTGCGGAGAATCTGAAGTCTTATTCATAATGATCACTCGGATAATGTTGTCCATTGATAAGGGAGGAACGCCCTTGGACTGAAGGCGCTTGACTATTGGTGCGGCCAAAATAACGAAAATCAGCAAGCCCAGAGCCCTCAGATTTGCACGAAACGGAGAATCTGGCCGGTAGAAGAGTGGAAACGGAGTAGGTAGGTATGTAGAAGCGGGTCTAGTTCGGCGACGAGTCTCCGTTTCAATGGTTTCACCACACGGACCCCCAAAACGAGTATGGTCTGAAAACGCGGCTCAAGTTCCGACAGACTTCTGCGAAAAATTCTCGCCGCAATGGTATGTCGAACGATCACGATGTCCTAGCAGGGCCTGAGCTGAACCAGCTGGACGTGATCTAGCAAAAGACGAAGTCGATCCCGACTACTACCTAGAAAACATACTGAAAAAGCGTGTATTTGGCATTAACCTTCGCCCTGGTGGGGGGGGGCCATTTTGGCCCCCCCTGTGGTTTTTCAGCGATAACTCAGAAACCACTTGAGTTAGCGCCCTGAAACTTTGTATAGCTGTTTATTCAACATTTTTACATCATGTCCTTTTTTGGGGGGTTCGGGTCAGGTCAGGTCAGGTCACAAGGTCACCAAAACTGACACCACCTCTAAAAAAGTTCAAAGCTCTCTCAAAGGCACAGCTTTTATCCGATCGATGTAAAATTTACAGTACTTGAAGATGTCACCCAGCTCTACAAAATGGCTATCTCGGATTTTTTATAAATGTGACCTAAGGTCAGGTCAGGTCATCGCTGCTCCCCATTATAAGTCAATGGGAGAATCGAAAAGTAGTTGTTTTTCAGCTAAATCGGGCGTGATTGTTCCTATATTTCGTTATTGAAGTGTCTTGGGTCAGCAAATCACAGCCCATGTGAAACCATTTGCTTGTGACCTCGCTGAGGTCACGCTAGGTCATCTCCCTGGTCACCAGAGGTCACCAGCGGTTTTTCTGCACTTACTTGTTATTGAATAGAGATAGAGACTCCATTCGACGTTTATCGTGTTTGTCTCGTCAATGCGGATCGAATGATATGCAGCATGACCTATTTCGGTAAGGTCATGACCTTGACCTGAGGTCAAATTTTCAAAATGACCTTTCGAGGTCAAACTATATATCATTCGACGCGTCTCGACGAGCCAAGCACGATGGTGCATGAATCGTTTCTCTATTTTCTCGTGAATGCATGCTATAGTTAAAAACATTTTCAACGAAATTTGCCAAGTTGACCTTGCATGACCTCTGTAGGCCAAACCGTTGAGCTGAGGTCAAATCTGACGAACCTTGGCGAAAGAGCTTGAAAAGAGCTATCGATTGCTTTTTTCCGCGGCTCTCTAGCTCTTCTAGTTTCCGAGCTACAGCGGAATATGTCCGGCAACACCGAAAACACTGAAATTTGACCTATGATGACCTCTAGCGACCTCAATATTGACCTTAGCGAAAAAATGACCGAAATACTTTCGAACGTACTTGTTATGGGCTTTCGTTTGCTTTTTTCCGCGTCTTCCTAGCCCTCTTCGTTTTCGAGTTAGACGGGGGGGGTCATTTTGGCCCCCCCCCACCAGGGCGAAGGTGGCTCAGACCCACACCAGGGCGCGGGTTAAAAGACCACTACCCCGTGCTCCAACGGCGCATGGTGTCCCGCAGGTCGGACAGCATTTTCATGCTGGACGGTACTCAATCTCATCGATCTTCCGGAACTAGGCGGTGACAGGACCGTCTGTCCGATATCTGGGGGAAGGACACTTGGCTAGGGAACAGTCCTGGCCTAAATCCAATCGAATTATTTTGGAGGATAGTGCAGCAGGAGCTGGACATATACAAACTTTCCGGCGACCTCGGACAGCTCGGAAGGGCGCTCAAGTCCCAGGCGCCCCTTTTTCACATGGAGGACGTCCCTTTAACCCGCGCCCAGATGGGGTCTGCCGAGCAACGCGGTCTGATGGGGGGGGGGGCCATTTTGGCCCCCCCCCCTCAGATCTCGAGAACCACGCAACATAGCGACAAGCGGTAAACGGTGTTGGATAGCCCCAACAGGGAACTACCTTGTGACCCAATTTCATTGACCTCGGTCAAACCGATGACGTCACAGGTCAGGTCAAAGGTCGAATTTTCACCGTTTACAGGCATTTCAAGAAATGCGTTGTAAAATCGTGTAAAATGCATTTCATTGAAAATCATCGATGGGGATATGTTCTTCAAACACATATTTTGCTATTTGAGGTCACTGATACCAGGTCAGGTCACAGAGGTCAGGTCACTGGGGGGTCACAATATGAAAGTGTCGTGTGATACATGTTTTATGGTCCATTTTACATGACAAATGCGATTATGTGGGTCAGACAGACTTTAGGGCCAGCTTAGGTCACGTTTTGGTCAAGGTCAGGTCAAGGTCAGGTCAAGGTCAGGTCAAATTAAGTCAAATTTCAAAGTTGATATTTTTGCATAAAATGGGTATCGATTCGATGCAGCTCGTCACGGGGAGTTCAATGGTGGTCTCCGTTTTGCGCTACGAGGTCTAGAATGGCTAAAAATTGAGTTCAAAAATTTGACGTCATCAATTTTTAACAGTTTTTTCGCTATAACTTGGCCAAAAAAAGAGCTATCGATCTAAAATTTGGTATGTATATCAAAGAGCGCAAGGACTATCATATACATTCCGGTTTTTACGAAATTCGAAAAAGAAATTGGAAATTTTTTGAGTTTTTCTAAAAAAAATCATTTTTTTATTTTTGGG